TATCCATGCTATAACATTCCCGTCCAAGCAACTGCGTCATTTTTCCTCAGGGATTATGGAATTTTCTATAAAGGAGCAGAACGGAAATATCCATGCTATAACATTCCCGTCCAAGCAACTGCGTCATTTTTCGCTCAGGGATTGACTGTTACACAGATGACGCAAGGAGCTGTTTGTAAAACATTTCCAGGTTAATCGAAGACATACTAAATACGCCACTTAAGCTCTAACATATCAAGTTCGTCGTGGGAATTCCGAAGGATCCAAAAATCAGGTGAATGAAAGAGAAGCTACTGGTATTGAATTAAATGAATTCAACCCAACTATTACATTACATTACACGATAAACAACGTAGCAAAACCGACTTGTCAGCTTTGTTTCACACTTATTAGGTGGTTTGCTTATGTATAACTGAACACAACAATCGCTGCCGTTTCTCTCCAACCGAACAGCGAGGCAAGGAAGCAAAAAAGCAGAAGTCGCCCGATTCAATATATGAAACGCTCCGGAGACTAGTGGTGGGGATAGAGGCCGTTGGATGATATCATAAAGACGATTGTTTAAGCATAAAGAAGTTTTGTCTGCAACGCCATGATGGACCACATACTACACTAGCTCAGGTTCTTCAGGTAGGTTGAGCTGGATGGAGGAAAGGCATCTCCATCGCATATATTGTATATAGCACGAACACTTTGGCAAACACCAAGAAAAGACGTGGTACGTCAAATAAATTGCAGTAGATAGGCCAATGCAAAAATGCACATTGTGTCATTAGTCAGTTTCTAGCGGCTTTGCGTTGGGAAACATGCTAGTATAGACGGTTCACACTATCTGATGTCTTACCAATGTTGCTGGTCTACGGAAAATAGTGGAGTAGGATTTCACACGCTGAATTCCTCTGACGAATTGATGAAATGCGCCTTGATCAACCCCTCGACTTCTGGCGTTATCAAAGACAAGGCCACGTGGTCACATTGTAGCTTACCGAATTGTTGCAGCACATTAGCTCAAACCGCACATCTGCAAAAACATTTCACCAAAAATCTTCAACTTTTTACTTTCATTTCCACAGCCTATGCTAAAACCATCAGAGAAATACTCTAGGCATTCTTCAGAAACGTTTATTTCGGTCAAAAGTCCTAAAACCAGTGTCAGTAGGAAATAGATCCGATGGAATAATATCCGAAACTTTCAACATGATAGTTTTGAGGTGGGAAGACAGAAGACACAATGAAATGGTATTGAGGTTGTGACATGAGGCTGTCTCTATCAATTCCATGATCTACGAACTTAAACCATAGGATTAAAAGGTGAAAAGTGCTCTTTTGGTCTCTCACGCCTAAAAAAGTAGACTACAACTCACCCATAGCAAATATGTGATGGATAAAGTGAGCACAAGCGACCTTCCTAAGCTCTCGGAGGTTACAGGAAATCTTTGATGGTGACAGCGTGATGACCGGTCGCTGGCTGACACAATGCATTGTATTAAATGTTCTATTTGAAACCTTCAGCAAATAAGTATGCCGGGAATACAGCCAAAATTTCTGTCTGAAGCTTTTCTGGATGCAGACACGTGCACCCAGAAGCACCATGAAAAAAGAAACGTACTGAATGACAGAAAATCCGTCTACAAGTTTTTCTTTTCATCTATCCTTCGCCCGTTTTTATCCCTTATCTTAATGATGTTGCAATTCTCTTTCTACATTTGAGCGATCTTGGTAGACAACATCCTCCAAGAAATTGTCCAAAATACTTGCGCCTGATGGATTTACCGCTCAGGCTGTTAATGATAAGTTTCGTCATTTCACGAGTAGCAGAGAGTTCCAACTTAGCCCTGGATCGTATTTTGATCATTGAATAAACCAAAATGAGGGCAGTTCTCATGATTGCAGTCAGACCTGGCCGTGGTAATCGGTTTTGGAGTGTGGCTTCCTGTCTTATCTAATAGGCTGTCCCACTATTATCCTGAAATCGTTCATAACAAAAAAAATTAAAGATGTGAGTTGAAAAAGTTGAAAAAGACACAAGTGCCGTGCAACGAGATTTGTCGATACAATAGTTCTAAACGAAGACCATCATTGATTTGTTGACTTCCACCGAAATAACGACCATTCACAAATAAATTACCTCCGAGGCACAACAACTGGCGAATGAGCACAATTATTCTTAGTTTTTCAGCCGACTACTGCGCAGTAGAGATGTTATGCACCGAGAATGTAGAAGACTTGGTGCAAAAAATGAACAAAACCAATTTATGAATCGAAATTGATAAACGACCCGCATACGCGCCTAGCAACCTGATATTACGATATTTTCAACTTGTACGTATTGATGTATGGCATGTTATTCGAGAGAAGCCAGAAGTTTCCGAATGAGGAACACTCTTTTGTTTAAATTTTGTTCGAGTTTAGCCCAATCATTTTAATAAGAATAATCTTGAACCAAAAATAATGGACGCTCTTCAAAGATGCTCCTCATAGAAAAAGGGGAACTTAAACGTAGGCAAACGATCAACTCGCTGCAAGTGAGTTCGGTTTTCTTCCTGTTATTATCGAAGAGATTCAGTTAGATAGTTAAGTGTGCTGAATAAGCGGTTGTGCTGGAAACGACTTTTATCGTTCATCGTGTACATTAGGCGTTTTCACATAAAGTCACCGATATGAAACGTACTCTGAGTGGCAAGATCTAAGGATATGCACTTTCATGACGGTTCCGTCACAAATGTAACGATAAACACTTGATTTTAGCGCAAATAAATTCACCGCTTCAAAGCTATGGCTGTCCACCCTTCAAGAACCCACACAACGCATGACAGTTAAAAAATGTCGCCTAAATTTTCCGCCATCAACTACGCCTGCAACAGAAAGATAAGCATGACTAGCCATGGGGCGACCTGTTGACGTTATTCGCCTACGGCTCATTGCTGATTTATTATCATTTTGCCCAAATTAGACGCCGCTGGGTTGCCCTGAATATAACACTGCGATAAGACGGATGGAAATTCCGATCAGCCCTTCATGGGACTCATCAGGCGGCCCAGTCACGAACAGTCATTACTCTGCGTTTGTGTTTAGACACTAAATTGAAAATATTTGCAGACAAACCAAATAATTCCACAAATTGAATGGGAATTCAACTACAACCCCAATCATGCAGCCGAAGCATTTCTGTCTTTAAGCATTTGGTTAGGTTGAAGAATATTTTAGCGACGAATCCGTTTGAATTTCAACTGAGTCTCCCATTCACACTGTTCGCATGGTAACACTCAAATAGCTGAAGTCCATAACAGTGTTATAAGTAAATTTCTTCTGTTGTAGAAACCGTACTCAGAATGGATAAACTCCAGTGGACAAGGTCAGTGTGTTCTGCCTTATCAAGGTTTGGGTCATCAATCCACCCACCGAATTCACTGTTGGTTCTACGTGGTTCGTCGGCCTCGTACTAATGGACAGTTGTGAAACATCAGTGGAGCAAGCTGACAGGTTTAAAAGTATCGTTTGTTCATATTCTTCAGTTGTTTAGCTGGGTTACAGAGTGCCCGGATTGCTTTACGTGCGGTTCATAGCAAATTTCTGATGCTCACATCTATCTACGAGGAGCTCCATTAGCGAAGTCAGTGCTGCATGAAACTCACACACCATGCGTTAACAAGTGTGGTTTATTTGCTTGCAAAAGTGTAATCCATACAAAACGATGTCTGTGAGGTGAATCATTGTTCAACACGTAACATGAAAAAGTTGCTAAATGAATACTCCCATGCCCTTACAACAATCTGAATTGTATCCCGTAAAAGAACTCTCAAAAGCTATGAAAAGTTTCAGTCCGGTCCACGCGTCGCTCGTGGAATTATCTGCACCATCACATGACCTTGTTCATTTTGCCATGTACGAGAACATGTTGCCAGTTTTTTGAGAATGTGTAGTTTTGCCAGAAATGTTTTACAGACCATCAATTTTCAACCAAGTTAGTAGCGGACTAAATGCCACTGACGTCCTCAGATTCTTCGTAGCAGTTACGAAGCAGTCTTACAAGCGGGAATTTGGTCGATGTGTCATTGTCTTGTCTGTTTCGGCTCAACTGACCGGGGGAATTTGGTCGATGTGTCATTGTCTTGTTTGTTTACGCTCCAACTGACCGTAGCTCTGACACCCTCAAAGACAAGTTTTGTGACACCCTGAAAGTTCCGTTGTGGAGAACTAAGATCTTAGACATCACTGTGGCTGCCGGAGAATTGAGGGCATAAATATGCAGGCATAGCGCTTCTGAGATTTAATTAGGTGGCTGACGCGGATTGGATTCGGCACGCACGGACGGTGGTGAACGACCACTTCAGCTGTGTGCTGACCGCAGACTGTCTTTATGCAGCAATAACCTCCAAAGTTGCTGAGCTCTTCTGTACATAACGTCCTCCATGTGGGTGCCAGCTACGAGATCAACTTGGTCACATTGCTATCGCTTACCGATGGCACGGATAAATAACGGACTGTCACTCGTTTTGAAACACATTTGTGGATTCCGGCCACGCGCTCATCCCGAGTCAATTCCCGCTTCGTTTTCAAGGCCCACGTAAGATGCGCACAAAACACTTATCAAATGGGAAACGGACAAATCCGTATGTTGGGAGAGTTTGCCAGAATCGTTTTCACCATCAGACGTGAATCTACACTGGGACGAGATCGCCGCCACTTTGCACAGTGCTGAGGGTTCGCCTGTGGCAAGGCGCTTCCAGGACCACTCGAGCTCGTGGGGGTCGGTTCCAGCGACTTCCTAACGAAGCAATTAGAAAGCAAGTTTCCGGTTGTGTAATTCCAGTGAAGAATATGTCCAGCACCAGAAGCTCGGTTGGTTAGGCTATGTATTGCGTATGCCGAACCACGGTTTGCCAAAGACTGCACTGTTTTCCGTGCTCATTTCAGAGTGGTGAAGCAGAGATCTGTCCAACCCTTGACCTAGCAGAGGAGTGTAGAAGAGAGTACAAAACATCTGGGTGCTGTCGGTGTTATTCGCCGACTAGAACGGGGACCGCGTGATCCCCACTTGCCTGACTGGAGACGCTGCAAGATGTGGCTGATAATCTATGCAAATATCCCTCGTGTTGTCCGTTTCTATCCAGATTGCCTGAATGAGTGTCAGGAGGTGTATCCTTGTAGTAAGCTAGTACCAAATCCCTTCCCCGTCCACCTTTATTCTTTTCTTCATAATACGGCTTTTAAATAAATCATGGTTGTACGGCAGCGAAGCCTCGGTGTTGAACACTGATGTCATGCTGTCGATGGTGATGGTGAAGAAGATGATTGTCTCATCAAGTTGACAGACTTTGTACGTTGGAGGGAATGTGACCACTTCGAAGTCATGACAATGACTAAATTTCAAGTGTATTTCATTTCCATGGAGGGCGCTATTTGTTTGACCACATCTGATATTGGTCCCACATGGCCTTCTTGGCGTGTCAAATGTTTTATTGTACGCTGGGAATAAGTATAGGGTTGGATAGGAATTAGTCACGTGATTGACATGAGTGAGTGTGGTTTTCTAAGCTAAACGCTCAAACCGGTGAATCAGAATTTATTACGTATCGTTAACTTTTCGACTATTCAACTAATAAAATGGCAGCCAAAAGTCTGCTGCGTGATTTGCGTTTAAAAATTTTCCGACAGCCTTGTGACACACTCACAAAAGCTGGATCTTTCGCCTTCAAAATGTCTTCTTATAATTCTTCATTGGAATCAGGAATCCCGCCCAGTCTCTTGTCTGAGTCTATTGGTGTGACTCATTTACTCTGAAATTCAAAAGATGTGACACCAAACATCAAGCAGTCTTCACTGTACTGGTTCTGTTGCTAAGCAATGTGAATTAGCTCAGGTGCTTTTATTTTAGGGAGTGATATTGTGGACGCTTTCATTGCAAACAAAATGAACATGTCGTCTAGACAAATTGAGAAGGGACAACTTTATTTGAAACCGTCATCTATGGATGTAAGTGTTGTCTAGTGGTGTTTTTATATTGATTTCTCGGAGCGCCTCACATTTCCAACAATTCTACTAATCGCGTAGATCTTGGAGCGAAAAAGAAACTTGCCTATCTAACGAGATAGTAGTTGGCTATTTATATTCAGAAGTGATTGCATTTGGCTGTAAAACTGGGACCTTAGTGCTGATGAATGTCTCTCTGGAAAACCCACCGGAATCTGTCAGAGCGTCCATAGAGCAGCGGCACAGCTAACTCGGAGGCCCCATTGTGACTCGGCTGCTTCATTTGCATAGCATTTTCAAAGCCGGAAATATTCAATAGATTTGTTTTGCATGATTCCACATGACTGAACCTAAAGAAGGCCGTTTATCACGGAGGTTTTATTAATCAAGTTTCAACAGCCCTTACTGCGTACACAAAATATATTAAAACAATCTATGTATTCGTGAGTATGATCGCGTGCTGCTGTTTTTAATCACACACATCAGTTCACCCACCCACGAACCTGACATATGGTTGCGCATATCTAATATCTTTTGGTTTACTTAGTTGAGGACAACAAAACATGCTAACATCCTGTGAGGTTTCTTTTATTCGTGTTAAGAAATTTATCGATGGTTCGATTTCCTATCAATCTTTCACAATTAAGAACCCGGAAATTGCGCTCATTTCGTATCCAAGATTGAGAAACATACAAGTTTGTCCGTGCATTATGTTGCGTCGCGCAGCTCATCCTGGTTGCCAAACGCATAATAAATTTGCGACAAAACAAAATCAGAAGCGGGCTAAGTTTTACAAAACTATTGTCACTCACATCAGTAGAATTAAACATGAGTGCTCACAGTAATGTCAGCCCCGACTGTGTGTTTTACTTGGCAGTCGAATTGGTGGGACTGAGGAGGCTCACAAATCGCCACCTTTGACGAGATAGTAAACTATCACAGAAAAAACATCCGCCGCCAAGTAAACATAAAGTAAAGGTGAATTAAGTTGTACGGAACCCAGATCTAATGCCTCTTTGAGAGAAGATGTCTTGCCTTCAAGGTCAGTTTACTGCAACAAAAAGTATCAGATGAATACAATAAACTTCTATTTTTCCAAGAGAAACGTGTGTAACGCATTCAGTCAAAGCAAATAAGCTGGGTTCTATCTTAATATCCGGCTAAAGCAAACTTAGTTCGCAAGTAAGTGTAGAATTCTACTTACAAACAAAATGATGCCCAAGTGGGAAACGAACATGGTGTGAAGTCTGGGACTACGCCCGCTTTTTGTGGTTACCAGAGAAGGCACACACTTATGCCGAGAGGACGGAACCAATCGTACCCCCATCTCACTTGATACACTATTGCCACCATATATTTCATTTGTGTTTGCCAATGAAGAACTCCGGGTTGTCTGAGGTTAACAAGAATCAGTCACCTCACTCCAATTTTGCGAGCTTCCACTGCCAACCAGCTGCCATCGTAAACCAACATATTTCTTAGCCCAGGCACAAATCCGTCCGACTTGGTGATCTACCACTGCACACGGTCCACGTAAAATCTGTCCTGACCGTGGGATAATGAGGACGAATGATGAAAAAATGGCTCTGACCACACCCGGATGGTTTGCTCGAATAAAATTTGAAGGGCTAATGCCCATCAAGCTTTCCGTGCGAATCTCTCGAATGAAAGTTGCGTGCATAAGAGTAATTTTCATTCAGTTTGAGCTGCCCCGATATTTGCCTGGACGATTGAATTGACAGCTAATTGAATTAATAGTTACAAATCCGACTCAGCGTCTGTGAATGCGAAATCGAATGTCGACAATATTATAAGCATGCAGCAGAGATACGTTTTTCACAAAACAGCCCAATACTGCCCTTAGAAAGATTCTCTTGCATGCCGATGTTATTTACCTTCTTCCAAAACGGGTGGGAATTTTAAGATAACACACTACTTACTCCTAAATTACAATTATGTCGATTACAGTTCCGAACGCGAATCGCATTTGCTGAAGACTGTGGCTAATTTTCGACCATTGTGGTTAATTGTACTAATCGCGTGGTTTAGGCATTTAAATGCAGAAACTTCCCTTCACACCTATCTACATTTTAAAAGCGATTCCTTCTTTTTACCATGGTTTTGTACCTTTCCTGATCTCACTTTATTTCATTGTTCTTAACGTTGGAGATGAGTCAGAAATTTATAAGCTGGCAAACCTAATTGATTGAATCAGTCAAACACTTTGATTTTTCCAGTGCCATATGAATATACATCTTCACTATTTTCCTCACTGTCAAAACTTAAGAAGATCTCGACTGTTTTCTCTTAATCTGTGTTGACATGCTAGTTTTCCCAAGGCTTCTAGACCTTGAGCGCTTTTATGATGGTGTAAATGTTAGCTTTGAGTTGTTTCCTCGTGGCCGATCAACTTTTAATAAAAAAGTTTGTTTTATTCTCTCATATTCAAATTTGTTTCTGTTATCCTTAAGCATATACACCATTTTATTGCGGCTGGTTCCATCATGATCAATCCAGCAGAAATATAGTCACTCCCTAAAGTTGTTTCTTTCCCGACGCGAAAGAATTACGAAGAGTGTCTCAATCATTTCCATAAGTAGGCTCTCGAACGTCTGTTCTGTTTTTACCAACGACTCTATTACAATAGCGCCTTTTCTTCTCTATTTGAAGGGGCTTCGGATGGACATTTGCCGCCACGCCACTGTCTGCCGCCCTCTCGAGTTCTGTGCTGGATGTATCCTATCACGGATTATCAGAACGTAAGTGTAAAACAGTAGGCATCTACGGAAAATGATCCTAAAATCACAAAGTGACAGTGAAAGTGCAATAAAACTTGTGAAAGATCTTCGGAAATCTTCAGTAACTTAAAACCTCGTAATCATATGGCCTAAGAGATGGTTCATGGTCAATCGACTGTGAGCCAGTTAGTTTGTCGTGAATGAATTAATCACTTATGGTATGGAGTACTGGTGGCCTCGGTTTGACTTTGAATAAGTCAGCCGCCTCAAGAATTGATTGCTCTACTGACTAAGAGTGACGGAAAATATTCGAGATAGATTTTGATCAGTTGCTTTGGTGAAATCGTGATCTCTCACTTGGTCCATTTTCAAGCTCAATATAGCTCACTGGAGCGTAGTAATTATGATCACAAATAATCAGAAAGGTTAATGTAGTTGGATAGGGATATATTCTTTGGTATCCATTCTCGTAACCAATTTCCATCGTGAAAATTCAGCCCACCAGATTAGAAGTTATTGCGTAGTTTGCGGCAAAATGGCTCAGTGGTTACAGCTCAGATTAACGGACTGGAAGGTCCGCGGTTCGAACCCGAATTCCCCTGCCGACTTCTGCTGTCGAGGCTTTGGCCACCTGACAGTATCCCAGCCCCCATGACTCATTCTAGTGGTACGGAAGTTAGGCACCGAAAGGGTGCTACAGCTGAACGATTGTTATTGCATATTTTGGTGCACACAGCGCTTCCAAGATTTGTTTTCTTGGTTAGACATACCTTAATTCAGATCGCTTTGGCTGCAGTAGTCTCTGACAGACAGCTGAACGAATGATTTATCCTAGGTAAATTTGGTCGGAAGATTTAGTTGTGACTAAGATACCTCTGTTTTACGCAACAAACGCAGTTAAATGGGCCTAATTTGTGACTTAGGAGTTCATTAAATAGTGAGACATGCTATGCAGCATACCTAAGAAGAAAGGCTGATAAGCGCACTGCATACTGTTGAATCACTACGAGTGTTTGGATCAACCCAGCTTTGGAAAATATCGATTCCTATATGAACTTCCCCAGCGACAGATGAAACGATAACCAACGAATCTGACCAGCCCCACTGTACCCAAAAATTTACATGAATGCATTTACCTTGCCTAGGAAAAATAACACTTACAATGTGGACAATTCAAGTTAACTGCCTCGACTTATTCTCACAATTATGATTACAAGAGCATGAAAAACAAGTTCTGCTCCATAAACCGTCTCACCATCTTTACGACGTTTAGGCGAAACATGGTGCACAAGAGAGGATATTGCGTCGACACAGTCTAGACGGACGGAATTTAGGTTATTCTGCATTGTTTGATGGATACGACATTAATAAATTGCGATGACTTATTAGTCTTGGGACAAAAGACAACATATTCCTCGTGTTTTTTGCTAAAATTCGTGGTTCTATCTTTTATGTAGTTTCACACATCTACGTTACGAGAGACAATACAGCAACAAATTCAACGTGATTGGACAACTTTGAGGGGGACGTCTTAGAGGACATGAATGAAAACTTGGGTAGACTTGACAATGTTATTCAAATTTTTAAGACTGGAGAAAGATCGAATATTTAAGCTAGAGAACTTCGACCACGTATAGGTTTGTACTGAAACGCTTTCCTAACAATACTCAAACGGTTAAAGTATTTCTCTTCTCTCAAGGAAAACACATACTCCTAGTATATTCCTCTGAAGAGTTTTTCTAACAGTGGGGGCTTTAGGTTAAAGACAACCGGGCCAAATTCAGTTTAGAGAAGGCACTTACGGAAAATCATAGATACATATCTTCTCACTTGAAAGGTTGTCAGATCAGACAGCGGTTTATAAGAAAACTTCAAAACGAGAAGAGGATGAGGGCTTCTGTTTGTCAACGCATCCAAATAATTATTCAGAAGGATCTCAGTGGAATCCTACTTAATGGTGATTTTGCGTTATCTTGATTAAAATTCTATGTATAACTGGAATTTCATAGGAACCTTATGCATTACTCCAAGGATAGCTCATCCACACATCCAGCCATTTTTTCTGTCGTACAAATTGGTCTTTTTATTGCTTCGTCTTAAGATCCATTTTGAGGCATTTTCTGAAAGGTACTCAGAAATATCCACTTAATGTGGTCTGATTTGGTAGTCTCAAATTCCAAGGACGGAGAAGTAAGTGGGAATATCCACCCTCTAAATAGAAAGCACATATTGCCACCATCATTGAAACATCCTTCATAAAACCTACCTAGAAGTGGTGTAGTATAAAACAACCCACGTGAGCTGAAAGACAGACCGATTAACATCAAGTGGGTACTCAAATTTGGTGCGTAAAATAGGAGATGTGCTGCTAGTATAGTGTGCAAATATCTGCTTAGTATCTCCGAACTGGCAAATCGGCGACCAGCTTTAGGTAGAATACATATCGTATATCAACATAGAAGCCAACACCACTCTTGAAGATATGCACTGCTGTCGACAGAGCTCACTGGTTCTTCATGTGTTACTCCTTGAGATAGTAGCCAGTCGTGTTAAGAAAGTGACAAACCTTAAACACGTAGCAGGTTGTTATCGAACAGTCCCATTTAGTAGTTATGTACAACGTATCGGGAACTTACCCACTTTTGAGCCTTGTTTACAACGCAAAATTTGTTCTTCTGAAAACACTCTTCAGCTGACGAAGCTGCGTCGGGTTCAATGCATTTCTCGTGTCATCATACTCGACGCTGTGTGAACTTAGCACCGTGTAAGACACAGCAATATGAAAGCTTACTACAGTCTTCTATTCTTCGGATTTGTATGCTTTCCGCTGTTGTCCGATTTCGAACTTTTTATTTATTCTTCTCGGCTACTCGCCGTAGTGAGACATAACACCCAAACGGGGAAAAATAGGTTAAATGACTGATTTATCGCATTCAGCAGAACAAGAAGTATAACCCTTCCGCCATTATCATCAAACCGTTAATCTGTATTAAAATTGGTAGCTATTTCGTCCTCTGTGTCTGATCAGTATGCACCCAAAAACTTGGTGTGGAAAAAATCGCCTTCTCTTCATAGCTGTCGTTTATTTTTGAAGGGCATGGTTACAGAACATAAAAGAATATACAAGAGAACATAAAAAACAGGCAAATGATCCACCACTAACTTTTTTCAGTCAGGAGAAAATTACCCACAATTTGTGTAGGAATGTTCGTACTTAAACCTACGTGTAAAGACTAGCGACTGGAAGATGAACAAATAATGCTCGATGTTTTTCGCGGCGTAGTGAGTTCTACCACAGCTAAGGGTCATACATCTGGGATGAGGTATCTGTCATACGGGGTCAAGTGTGAAAGTCCTTGGGAAGAAAAAACACTAGCCAGAGCATTTCTCTGAAGCTGTGAACCACTGAACGAGGAGGAGTTGATGAAGTTCTTCTTTATGAAAGTACTTAAAAATAAAGGACGACACAGAAATCAGTCTATTGTGGTTGGAACCGGGACCTTTGGAAAAACACTCAGGTGATAACGAGAAGTCGAAATACGTAGCCACATTATTGGCACTTAACCAAATGTAAGCCTGTCCCAAACTCGTGTTGCCCATCAAGCAAACCTGAAGACCAATTTCCTCCCCTTCATTTGTTCCCATCAAACTCCAATCCGATGGCAGTACTGTGCGACTTGATCGCTTATCCACATATTTCGGGGTGGGCAGTACCTGAATTCAATACTGTTCAGTTTCTAAAAGCAAGATCCAGGTTCTTTTGTATAATTCCTTCCACCACTTATCAAAAGCAAGAGATGCCGCATCTTTCCGCTTCTTGTGGTAAAAGATCTGGATGGTGGTGTGATTAGCTCAGCGAATCGGCTTACAGTTGTCTACCGCTTGATAATATTGCTAGTGGTGACGTCAAGATATAAATTTCCACATGAGGAGAGATTTCGTGGATAGGTATGGAGCCAGAAGTGAAAGCACTTGCTCCGGTGTCATGATATCTGATAGCAACCCTCGGGAAAAGGTTAACATGTCAGAACCAGGTAATAATTTGTCAGGGTTGGCCTCCAAGATTGTGCTATTCATGGTTTGACTACACAACGTGGTGTAAACTTCAGAGTCAGAAAACTTTTAGGCTGTTTGGCCGGTAGTTTCGCCAGGGTCATTAGGTGACGACTCGTCCAGGTGTACTTACCATTTAGCCCACGTAACCTGGCAATGATACTGAAAGCCATTCTATCAGAAAAATGTTTCTTCAGTAACTCTGCTAGCGCGATATGCGTAGGAGAAGTAGATATAAAATGTTAACAAGTTGTACTTGCTTATGGCTCCTAGTAGAACCGCGGGGCACCGGATGTGTTCACTCAATCAAGCTTTTCTGTTGGGTGGGTCTATTCTGTTGGTGACGCTAGCTTCTGTATAGTTGGTCGGGAACCAGCAAGACTAATCAGAACAGGCTAACTTGTAAACCATTTCGTACAAACGCCTTCATGGAAAGGAATGTGGCATTTCGATTCTCAGCACTATTCATGGTCCCCACAGGTAAGCACCACGAGTTCATCTTGCGTACTGGGTGAGAGTGGTGCAAAGGTGCTAGCTGGGTCATGTAGTTCGCTGTCGAAATTAAACAGCGCTAGCAACCAAACATGTCTGTCGGCCATAGAAGGACTTCAGGCTATCCAGTCGGCACTACAAGGAAGTTGTCCGCGACCTTCGTAACTGCTGACGGCTATTCCTCTAAAGAGAACTTTGATCGAGCATGAATGGTGGTTCAATTGAATCCTGGTAGAATAAGTGATCGTTATGGCAGCAGGGCTCAATCCTCTGCGATATATGATACATAATATGATAGCTTGTGTGGCTTTTATATCGGGCTAATAAACGCCGGAAAATAATCANTCGTAACTGCTGACGGCTATTCCTCTATAAGAGAACTTGATCGAGCAGGAATGGTGGTTCAAGTGAATCCTGGTAGAATAAGTGATCGTTATGGCAGCAGGGCTTAATCCTCTGCGATATATGATACATAATATGATAGCTTGTGTGGCTTTTATATTGGGCTAATAAACGCCGGAAAATAATCAGGAAGCCATAAACCACTTTTTCCATAGATAAAGACAAATGTGCGACAGTGATTCCTCAACAGAGCTTCGCTTTAGCAAATTTCTATTGGCGTGTTGATTTGCATGCTCATGCGAACCGCATTCATGAAATTGATTCTCCCAGATTTTGTAGAAAGCAAACCCAAAGGTAAAAACAACTCCTTTGAAGCGGTTGTACTACCAAAAATGCAAGATTGGCGATGATCCATAGAGTTTCTAAAATTATCGCCAATCTGCTGGGGGTATTACTGGTAGGAAAGAGTCTCACTAATTAAATGCATTTACTTTCATCTTTGCCGTAGGTGGAACAATGTTACTATTAGATGAAGGCTTGAAAAAACAATGTCCATTAATGGATTATTTTTCAATGCTTGGCTTAACAAACATTTTACGACTAGCCGGATTATAGTTTATCTCTGAGAAATCTTAGGATTCTACTTAGTTACTTGACATTTCCATCAAAAATTGCCTCCTCTTGTTAGGATAAATAGAAACGGATGCTTAGTGTGCAGAAGTACGAACGCATCTTTCTGGTATATGACGGTTTGCTGGCGATGAAGTTGTGTATCCTCTTTGTATAGAAACGTGTCAGAAAATCAATCGCGTTCCGGCCTCCAAGTCTAGCAGAGTATGCAAAACTCATGTATGTCACATCCAGTGTGACGCAAAATAATGACATAGTTGACTTCTTGCATAAAAACAAGGCTCGATCCCCACCAGGGAGTAGGAGTGGCCAGCAGGTCTTGTTTTGTTGTGATGAATCCTATGGCTCTCACACGGCCACTAATGTAAACTCGAGGAATCAAAGGTAACGGATTAGGCATGACTCTCAGACAAAACAATTTGCTTTCAAGTCAAGCATAAACTAGTCTGTGGCGAGAACACAAGGTGACCATTTAACTACGTCATAATCACTACCCACAGGAGCCCAAATTCGGTACGAAGTAGATTTGGCCTAGTTCAGATCAATTCAGGTACGAATGATTTCGAATAGTGACTATAAGATTTGGGCATGAGAAACAGGTATTTTCCATAAACTTACAATTTTTTCTCGTGTTAATACCTGAGAAGAATAGGAGTTTCCTGTAAATACCGGGCTATCTATACTTAATTATTCAGTTACTGTTCATCCCACAGGAATATGTTTTTTTCTTTCTTTGTCCTCTAAATACAGACGACTGGTAGGAACTTGTACATGCATCTCTTGTAACCCGCCTTGAAGTCCGCTTCGAAATATCGTTGTGATAAATCATACGAACGGTGTATAATTCACAAACGTCTAGAACATCCATGACCAAAGTTTAATGGTACGGGAAAGAAAAACTTCACAGTCGTGGCCTGCGTCATGTATGTTTCCACAAGACTATCAGGCGACGAGTTTTCGCCTAATGAACAACCCTAAAACAGCCTGATGTTATTTGCTCATAAAGCAGCCTAAATTTACTGGTGTTGGCGACAATCGATAAAGCAACTCAGTACAACTGAGCGAGTTCATGCGTGAGTGATCATTAGACTGAATGCGCTTCCAGAGGGCTCCAGTATGTGCGCGCGCGTCTGTGCGCGAACACTCACGCTTGCAAGTGCAAACGGTTAGAGTTAATTGAGTTTCCTGAGTTTGGACACAAATGGATGGAAAATTACAGTAGAAATGAATGCAAACAGTGACAGTGAGTCGGGTTGAACCACTAAGTTAAGCAGTATGGAGACGATCAGCTTTTCCGGAATTCCACTGCTCATTTACGGTCTAGGACATTCAAATTTTCAACATGAATCAGTCGATTCACTGAATTTGTGGTCGAATCCGATTTGGTTTGCACATACCTCTCGAAACACGTAAAGAAATTTATACATCGCAAGTATACGGAGTCTTCGAATACTCATAAGACTTCGCACAAGCTGGGCCATTGGATTCGGACATACGTTCATAATGTACCAATTTAGTCCATTAGAGAGTTCGTTTCAGCTTTAGCATCACATCTTCTACACCTGTTATTAGACCGCACACGTATCAGTGTGCAAGGGAGACCTAAAGTCAAATAAACGTGACAGAAACAGTGATCTCGTCATTAAAGCATGACGGTTGTAAAAACTGCCACACTGAGTAGTCACTTTTCATTCTTGCTGTTCATGGGAAGCCAGAATTAGTTGGCCACCATATTCCATGGGTTACGAATTAATGACGAACAATCCGTCTTGTTCAAACCAAATGGAATTTGTCTGCGACAGTGCTGAACTCCCATATATGAACGACTCCCCTAATAAATACTACTTCTGTGAAGCCTTTTCCTTTCCCGCTTCACTTCAATGGGGACGTCAGCTGTCTGAATCATTCAGATGGAACATTTTCGCTGGAACTAAACAATGATTCCTCTCGCTCCTATTTTTTTAGGATGTCTCTGACAAGACCCTGTGCCACTTGAGCATTCTTTTTTACCAGAAGGGTATCATCATACCCGTGTGAACCAAAACATAGGAATTCGGAGTACCGTCCAGGAAAGTTTGACCTGCAAAACCTGTTTTATGGTTATCTGTGTCCCTCGGTAACTTCCGTACCACATCACCATAGAAGATTTGCAACACCCCTCTGGTTTCCTTGCCACTCTACTCACAAAGATTGCCTAACAGCCTACTGAAATTTCAGCTGCCGTCGCGACAAATCCACTGCTTATTCCAACAGATAAGTTCTTTAGTCAATAAAGAAAAGAAATACCAAATTGCTATCCTTCGTTTAAAAAAAAACATTTTTCAAGAAATACACTCATTTGCAAATCAATTTGCTTTTCACAAGGGACTTAACTGAATCTCTCGTTTATGATATTCTATAACTGAATGTGCTGCATACAGACTGCCTCATGATTCAGTTGACACGATATTTGAGATAACACAGTATATTTTCATAAAGGGAACTATTCACAAGGTTGCTGAAAACTCTTCGACAGCCCACGACCGGTTTCGCCCTTCATACATTTAACAGCGTGTTCTTTCTCCTCCCGTCACATGCCCCAGTGGCGTTAAGTAGTCCACACATATCTTCCTTGGCCTGCGTAACTAGGTTTGCAAGTCGTGCACCAGTCGCTTGTTCATGCTGGGTCTATTTGGGGCGTAATGACAGGAATCTTTGTGAAGGGGTGAAAATTCAACGTCGTTGTGTTAATGCCCCTTCTATTGTGCCTTGAGTTTTCAGTAATCTTGTGAGTAGTTTTCTTCATGAAAAAATTTTCACTTCATATGCGGGTCATAAATCACCAGTCAGTAGTAAACGGCGTCGATATCACAGGAAGAGTGACCCTAATGCGCTATCATAAGAATTAGTGGGCGTCGCACAGACCGGGAATAATCAACTGGGCCCCTGGGATGACCCTCTGTGTTGATTGATCTGCGTTGAAAGTGTGAATTTTCTTAGTTGGATGGGGGCTATGGAAATCAAGAATAGTAAATGACTCTTATGATGCTTCGCATACCATGACTCTCGAAATTATATTTTTGGTTTCAACCATTAAGGCATTAAAGTCGTTATATCAGGTGTTGCGAACAATTTTTCACAATGTAATGTATCGTGTTGCATTTATAAACCTTGTTGGCAGTTCTAGTTCAGTGCAAACTTATCAGATGGGTGACCAGGTTAGTACTCTTCAAGAGGAAAAGTAATATTATTTAAAATACACACAAATAGCTTCTCGGCTTCTGACTAAAATCAACTCACTTTTTCAGCTTCTATTCCCATTAAAATTCTTGCACACGGACTTCAAGTACCTCAGGTTATAGATTCAATACGCTAATCCCTATTTGCTGAAAACCCTTAGACAGCTCACGACAGATTTCGACCTTCTTGGGGCTCATCAGGTAGACAGGTCCCCCAGTTTTCGTTAACTTCATGTGTTTAAGCTTGAAAACATTACAAGTAATAGATTCGGCTGGGTTACAGTTGAGTCATCCATCAAGACCAAATTGGTATGCAAATGAATGTATTTTGAAAATCTCAGATTATTATGTAAACTGGAACAAGTAATGAAGTCTCGAATATCACCACATCTTTTTGTACACTATCGAACTTATCAAGTTAGCAAAACAAAGACCTTCATCGAATCAACCCGCTGTTGTTGCAGTGGGTTGGTTGATTCTACGCTGGGACT